TTTTTTTTTTTTTTTTTTTTAATTTTTTTTTATAGAATCACCCTACGTTTCAATTAGGTGAGAATTTAATAACATCCCACTGAACTATGCCTTGTAGCAGATGAAGGCACAAGCCACCGGCACCTGGAGTGCAGCCATTGAAATAGAATCACACCCTGGCCCAAAGTAGGGCCGAGCTACAGGGGAAGGACTGGAAAACAGAGCCAAAGCAGACTGAAGCCATAGGAACAAGTCGGTGGGTGGTACGAGGAGGTAGATAACCCCTGCCCCAAGCTGCACCTCACGCTTTTGCTGTGGACCTCCCGTTCCACCCCCACTCCTTTTTACCAGGGCCATTTGGACGCAGAGCAGTACTTCTTGGAGTGGCTGGAGATTTTTACTCCACCCGACTGACACTGCTGTGGGACACACGTGGTGGCACAAGGCTGCGGGACACATGTGGTGACACATTGCTGTGGCACGCACTTGGTAACACATGGCTGTGGGACACACTTGGTGGCACACTGCTGTGGGACACACTTGGTGGCACATGGCTGTGGCACACACTTGGTCACACACTGCTGTGGGACACACTTGGTGGCACACTGCTGCGGGACACACTTGGTCTCACACTGCTGCGGGACACACTTGGTGGCACACTGCTGCGGCACACACTTGGTGGCACACTGCTGCGGGACACACTTGGTCTCACATGGCTGTGGGACACACTTGGTGGCACATGGCTGTGGGACACACTTGGTCTCACACTGCTGTGGGACACACTTGGTGGCACACGGCTGTGGCACACACTTGGTCACACGCTGCTGTGGCGTCACACGCCGCTGTGGCACACACTTGGTGGCACACTGCTGTGGGACACACTTGGTGGCACACTGCTGTGGGACACACTTGGTCTCACACTGCTGCGGGACACACTTGGTCACACACCTGGTTGCACATTGCTGTGGGATGTATGTGGTAGCACACGGCTGCGGGGCACAAGAGGTCACAAACTGGTGCGAGACACACTTGGTGGCACACTGCTGCGGGACGCACGTGGTGACGCACCTGGTGGCACACTGCTGCTGCGGGGCATACGTGGTCACACACCGCTGCGGGACGCACTTGGTGGCACACTGCTGCTGTGGGACGCCCTTGGTCGGGTACGGCTGCTGTGGGACACACGTGGTGACACACCTGGTCGCACACTGCTGCTGGGGGACGCACTTGGTGGCACACTGCTGCTGGGGGGCGCAGGGGGTTGCACACTTGGTCACACACTGCTGCTGTGGCACGCACTTGGTCACACAGGGCTCCTGCGACACGGCCTTGGTGGCACACTGCTGCTGCGGCACGCAGGTTGTCACGCACCGAGTCACGCATGGCTGCTGTAGGATGTGCTGGGTCACACACTGCTGCTGCGGCACGCACTTGGTTGCACACTGCTGCTGCGGCACGCACTTGGTCACACACCGCTGTTGGGAGAAGCTGGAGGACATGATCTGCTGCCGGGGTGGGCAGGGGGTCACATACTGTGGGGTGCACAGCGTCGAGTGCCAGGTAGGCATTGGTGGGTGTCTGGCAGCGTACATCGGGGGCCACGGGATGTGGATGGGCTCCTGGCGGACTGGAGGGAGGCACTGCTGTAGGTAGCACGACATCTCGGTGAGGCTTTGGCAGGACTGGAACCAAGACGTGAGAAAGCAGAGCCTTTAGCCAGGTCCCCGGCCGAGCTTCTCGCGGTCCCGCTGCTGCCTGTGCCACTTCACAGGGTGCCAGGGACACCGCCCGCCTATGCCACGGCCTCAAAACCACGCCAGCACCACCCAAGCCATTGTTTTTAACTCTGAAACACAGCACTAAGTCAAACAGTGGGGGAATTCAGAGGCACCTACCACTAAATAACTCCCCAGGCTGCAACTCCCTCCCCATCACCTGGACCTCCATAGGGGAAAACGGAGGTCAGCAGCGGAATGGCTGATCTCAGAGCTGCCTTTCAACCATTCAATCCAGTTTTCCCCTCCCGCTTTTGGTTGGCGACTGACCTCTTGCTACTGCATCACGAAAAAAGCCCAAGCCAGGAAACAACCTTGAACCTCTGGCCACATCTGCCACAGCAGGAGAGGCAAAGGGCGCCCAAGGCGCCGCTGCTCGGCAATGCCGGCACACCGCGGGCGGGCAGAGGTTCACAGCTCTGTCCCAACATCACAAAGTTCGTGCTCATTAGGGAACCAAAGCCAATTAAAGGGTAGCGACACCACAGCCGAACACAAACCTGCTTGCAGCTCTTCTAGCATTATGCACCCTGACGCACCGAAGCTGCTCGGGCTGCTGTCAGGCACCCTCGAAAGCAAACAACAAGAGCAGCACCCCAACCGCCGCCAACAACCTGTCCTCATGTTTTTCAGGAGAGCCTCTTGGACTCAGACGCCCAGCTGGAGACTCCGTAAGCAATTCCAACGCAGCGGTTCCGACCGGCTCGTTTTACAAAGTTCCCATAGAGCATTTGTTATACGTAAAAAAAAACCCAGAAATAAATCTGCAGTCCAGCAGCTGCAGCGGCTCAGCGCAAACTGGACTTACCCAGCTCCCCGGTGAGAAGAGCTTCGTGATGTGACCAGTGAGCCTGAAGAGAAGGAGAGCTTTTATATAGCTACTAAACGTGCCTCGAAGGCATGAGGTGCCCACGACATATCCTATTAGCTCCTATGCAAAAGCTGGCCTGTGTGCAAGGCTCGCCGTGACTAGCAGCAGTGTACTCATCCCCGAGGATGAGTAGTTGAACGTCAGCTCCCCATCGTAAGAGTAATTACCTTTTGTATGTTCCTGCCTGGCATGGTAAGACTGAATGGTATTTGGAGAGGCCAGGCAGCAGTGGCATCCCCTGCTCCGGGGGGTTTGCAGGGCAGAAGTTCACCCGATAAGGCGTTTTTATGGCTTTTTAGTGGTCTCACAGTCCCTGGAAATGTCCTGGTGGTCCCCAGAAATGGGGCCAGCCCATCACTTGGCCTCTTTCTGCACACGCATGGCGTTGCCTTCGTGCCGTGAGACCCTTCCATGTCCTTCTCCCAGTCCCTGGTTAGAGCTGGCAGCGCTTCCCATCTGCCCTCTAACGCCCAGCAGCTGGGGCGGGCTGTGCATACAGGGGTGGGTTGTGCATATGGGGGGTGGATTGTGCATATGGGGGGCAATTTGTGCATACAGGGGGGCGGGTTGTGCATACAGGGGCGGGTTGTGCATATGGGGGGTGGATTGTGCATATGGGGGGCAATTTGTGCATACAGGGGGGCGGGTTGTGCATACAGGGGCGGGTTGTGCATATGGGGGGTGGATTGTGCATATGGGGGGCAATTTGTGCATACAGGGGGGCGGGTTGTGCATACAGGGGCGGGTTGTGCATATGGGGGGTGGATTGTGCATATGGGGGGCAATTTGTGCATACAGGGGGGCGGGTTGTGCATACAGGGGCGGGTTGTGCATATGGGGGGTGGATTGTGCATATGGGGGGCAATTTGTGCATACAGGGGGGCGGGTTGTGCATACAGGGGCGGGTTGTGCATATGGGGGGTGGATTGTGCATATGGGGGGCAATTTGTGCATACAGGGGGGCGGGTTGTGCATACAGGGGCGGGTTGTGCATATGGGGGGTGGATTGTGCATATGGGGGGCAATTTGTGCATACAGGGGGGCGGGTTGTGCATACAGGGGCGGGTTGTGCATATGGGGGGTGGATTGTGCATATGGGGGGCAATTTGTGCATACAGGGGGGCGGGTTGTGCATACAGGGGCGGGTTGTGCATATGGGGGGTGGATTGTGCATATGGGGGGCAATTTGTGCATACAGGGGGGCGGGTTGTGCATACAGGGGCGGGTTGTGCATATGGGGGGTGGATTGTGCATATGGGGGGCAATTTGTGCATACAGGGGGGCGGGTTGTGCATACAGGGGCGGGTTGTGCATATGGGGGGTGGATTGTGCATATGGGGGGCAATTTGTGCATACAGGGGGGCGGGTTGTGCATACAGGGGCGGGTTGTGCATATGGGGGGTGGATTGTGCATATGGGGGGCAATTTGTGCATACAGGGGGGCGGGTTGTGCATACAGGGGCGGGTTGTGCATATGGGGGGTGGATTGTGCATATGGGGGGCAATTTGTGCATACAGGGGGGCGGGTTGTGCATACAGGGGCGGGTTGTGCATATGGGGGGTGGATTGTGCATATGGGGGGCAATTTGTGCATACAGGGGGGCGGGTTGTGCATACAGGGGCGGGTTGTGCATATGGGGGGTGGATTGTGCATATGGGGGGCAATTTGTGCATACAGGGGGGCGGGTTGTGCATACAGGGGCGGGTTGTGCATATGGGGGGTGGATTGTGCATATGGGGGGCAATTTGTGCATACAGGGGGGCGGGTTGTGCATACAGGGGCGGGTTGTGCATATGGGGGGTGGATTGTGCATATGGGGGGCAATTTGTGCATACAGGGGGGCGGGTTGTGCATACAGGGGCGGGTTGTGCATATGGGGGGTGGATTGTGCATATGGGGGGCAATTTGTGCATACAGGGGGGCGGGTTGTGCATACAGGGGCGGGTTGTGCATATGGGGGGTGGGTTGTGCATGCCGGCTGGACAGGGGGCACCACCTCCTAGCAAAGTTCAAATCACCCCCTTGGGTGGGCTCAGTTCCTCATCCACAGAGCACTTCATTTTTTAGCTCACATAGCTCTGGGGAGCACCTGGTTGGTGTCCCGATGCTCCCGTGATCCCAACACAATCACCTGTTATCAGAGCAATGGGAATACGCCATCCAGTGACTCTCAGATGAGCGGAAAAGATGAGCTACAGTCACGTTTGATTGCAGCTCTTGCCCAACAAGCTCACCTGTCAGAGCTATGACCGGCAACACCACGGGCCACAAAAAGCACCAGGAGCAGATGAACTTCCTCCAGTCCCGCAGGTGACTTTCTCAGTGAGTCAACTTCTTATCGCATGCTGCGCCCGGATTAAAGAAATTAGGTAGAAAAACGGGGAAATTAATTTTTTGAAGCCACTGAAGATCTAATCAATGCTTTCATGTGTATGTCACCA